ATTCATTGGGCTAGTTATCTCATGCAGATGGTTTTCATGAGCTTATTCCCAATGAATGGCACATGAATCGATAAGTATTGATCCAAAGAGTTTTCTGATCATTCACTTAAAATTTCCCTTCCTTTCACTCATCCTATATGGTATGACAAAAAAAAGGCCAATGACTTTGAGTGTGTCTACTGAATTCTTAAGTCACGTCTCACAGAATTTGCTGAGGGTGTAGCATGTCTTCATTTACTTGAAAGTCAAACAAGGCTGCCAAATCCATCAATTCAAATTAAATTATGAGCAATATTCTATGACAAGCCTAATATTTAAAATGCAATCCTTTCAAAAAATTAAAGGAAATTCTGGATGAACTGGTGAAAACTCTTTGAGACATAAAAAATCTTTGAATTTATACTCATTGATTTATCTCCTATTTATGGGGGAAAAGCTCATGAAAACCATCGACGACATTACAAACCTAAAAAATGAATTTAAACAGGAGTTTGAAGTGGTCTCAATGACCAGGAAGTACAGTGCTTGAGTGCTTCCTTCCCTCCACTACCAGTAGCTCTTGTCCATTCTCAATGTCTAACTTATTTTCAATAATTGCTGATGGAATTGCTATGACCCAATGAATTCTGATGAAATTTTGAGAATCTGTTGGAATCATATTCATGTATGTATAGTGAATGTTTTTGTAAAAAAAAAAATAGTTCTAGTGTAAGCAGAGATAATCTAGTTAAAAGTAGTCATTGGTATTTTTTTTCTTGTGCCATACCCTGTATCTTTCATGTTTTTTACATTCATTCTGTCAAATTGTAGGCTAGAATATATATATCAGATATTTCAGTGATAGAAGGCATCCAAGGGGCCATGGGTTGAGTATCAGTGCTTTAGGACATGTGAGGCATGGTTTGTATGGAAGATGATATCACCTACAAACAGGTGAAACATGTTCTCCAGGGAGGAGATGGTATCATTGATAAGAACAAGAGGGTTGAGCTAATGACTCTACCCTATGATTTTACTTTTGCATCCTTATTGATCCACACTGGAATGCCAGAGTGAATCATGGAGGGTGCCAAGGTACAACCTTCTAAAACATCAAGTTGCTGGAGGTCAAACAAAAATTTATGAAGGAGGTGGTACTGTGGACAAATGATCCCAAAGTCCTGAAGTTTAAGCAAGTTAATGTAGCCCTTTGTGCCATATTCCATGAAAAAATTCTGAATCCTGAAGGATAAGAGTAGGAAAGAACCTACCAACAGAAGGAAGGGTTCTTAAGGGCTGTAAGGCCACATTTGGCTGGTGGACTGATAGTCAATTTTGACCTTATACCCATCAGCTAGTGCTGGTGATAGTGCTGATTGAGGTCTGTAGATTGAGAAGGAAGTAACATGAAATCATATGGTAATTCAAACAGGCCTATTTGGAAGCCATGTGACACTTATCAGTGGATCCCCTAAAAACAATAGAGACAACTGTTAGTCTTGTTCAGTCTGTCTGTCTATATGTCTGTCAGTGCTTAGCTTGTTACCTATTCCTGCACCAGAGAGCATTTAATGACACATCTCCCATAAGCACAACATAAAAGGAGGTGCAATGATTTCCTGTTCTTTGCCACTACTTTTTCTGCCAGTTCCTACACTCAAGCTGAAATATGATTAGTATTTTTGTCTGGGAGAGGTTGGCAGGAGTGACTTTCACTGAGACAGGATGGCAGGTGCCTTGCTGCAGTCACATGTTAGTGTAATTTTTTTTTTTCATTTTGCCCTTCTTTTGGGGATTGGTATTGGCAGCTTGCAACCCTGCAGATGGTTGATGGTGCAACACTGGTGGCCAATACCAGTGGTTGCCAATACAGCAATACAGTTCCAGTTCTTAGCAACAGAATTAAAGGTTTAAAAATTCTCAAAAGTAAAAGCAGCTAGATAGTCTTAGGTTGACTTGCAAGTATACATCATATTGTATGTCAACAATCAGGCTGTTTTCCTTAAGAGAAAAAGGTTTAAAGCAAGGTTTATAAGAGATTCAAAGACCTAATCATGATGGACAGGAGGGGAATAGGCAGTGGCATAGTGAGGGGGGGGGGGTTCAGCCCCCCCCAACTCTGGTTGGAATGTGTCCGCCCCACCCCGACGAGGAGAAGTTACCCCCCCCATTGACAAAAACCTGGCTATGCCACTGGGAATGGGATGGTAAGTGGATAGATAAGTAAGGTCCCCACTTTGGGGATGGGGACTAGAATGACTTTAGCAACTTTCCAGAAGGATGGAAAACAGGTTGGTTGGAAAAAAATGGGAATACAGGGTGGGCCAAAAGAAAGGTAACTGAAAATGAGTACTTTTTTTTCATTTCAGGGCAACATTGGATAATTATCATGCTTCAATATTCTGTTGAGGAGCATTTATGGATTGTAAAACACTATTTTATAAGCTATGGATCAAGTGAAATACAGTTCAAATGTGTGCATAAAAAAAAATTATCCTTAACTATATTGTAGTTTCAGTTATCTTATTTTTTTGGTCCACCCTGTATAACCAAAATATGAGGCCATAGTTTGGGTGTGCAGATCTTCAGGACAAGTGGGGGGGGGGGGGGGAGAATTGGGGCCAAATGCTTTTGAGCAATACAAAGATAGAAGTATGTGGGGGAACCTAGCAAGGGATATTGTAATTGAATCTCAAAGAATAACCTGTCTGAACTGGAAATGGAGGAATTGGATCATTGCTTTGCACCTTCTACAGGGTGTCCAAAAAGTAGTGTTGGGATTTGTCTACTGAATAACTTATGAAATATTGGTGATATTACTTTTCACTTTTTAGACATTGAAGAGTGAATCTTGGAGTTTTATGATGAATTGCTGAACAGTCAAACAACATGCAACAATTGAGCTTTACTTTTCTATCTCAGTGCACCTACCACTGGTGGTTTGGTGCTCATGAAACACCTTTTGAACATGTTATTCATCGATTTTGTTACACACTTTTGTGCCAATCGTGGTGTTGCTGATCAACAAAGATCTGGGAGAACTCACAACAGTCAAAGTTTGCAACATCCAGAGACTGCTCACTAGGCAATTCCAGGAAATCAGTTTGTTGTCTATATCAGGGGTTAGGGATACCCAGAACATCACCGAATCCCATATATTCTGATGAATTATGCTTCTATTTGTATAAATGTATAAAATTCAGCTGGTGCAAGATATGCACAGAAGGAGGGGGTTCCTCTCTGTAAACACACTGATTTCTTGGGACTTTCCAGAATTGCTTAGTGAACAGTCTCTATGTGTTGTAAACACTTTGGCTGCTGCAAGGTCTTCCAGATCATGGTTGATCAGCAACACCACCATTGGAACAAAATTGCACAACACACCAATGAATAACATGTTCAGAAGGTGTTTCATGAACACCGAACCATTGATGGTAGGTGCATTGAGCTTCAAAGATGGAATGTCTGATAGAAAAGTAAAGTGCCACAGTTGCTTGACTGTCCTACAATTCAACAACTCAAGCTCCAAGGTTCACTCTACAACCTACAAAACAAGAGAAAATTAATATCACCAATATCATGGAGTAGAGAGTGTAACTAGAGGTGACACTCTGAAGGGTAGGGGAGGGTCTAAATATTACAGAGACATCTGGTGGCCTGTTATCGACAACACTTCCATGAGGCATGTTTAATGGCAGTGGAATCAGGAATAGATTCATTTGGGGATTTGACCCAAAGGGATCCCTCAATGTAACGCACATGTCTCATTGAGTCCACTGCTTGGTCATGGAGGAGTTGTTGATGTGCACACGCTAGGTGGAGGATCAATAGTGACATCTATATTGTGACCCTGTCAATGAATGGGATTCGAGTGGAGTGTTGCCTCTAGTTATATGCCAATATGTTGGTAGTTATTCAATAAACAAATCCCAACACTACTTTTTGGATATCCTATTTAAGGCAGATAAGTGTTGGTCAAGAACGTGACATTTATGACCAGGTGGATATATTAGATTACTGTCTTTTGTAGGGCTCAGACAGACAGTTTTTCCTCTTGCAGGGGTAACTTAATCATGATTTAGGGAAGCCCCAAGCCCCTTAACCCTTTCTGAAATGGTGATCCCATTTGGCGGCACCAACTTTCAAGAATTTTCTAGTTTCACTTATGAAAATATTCTGAATAAAAGATGTCATATTTACCACAAAACTGCAAACTATCTGATGACTTGTTTAAAAGGTGTTAATTTTACAAATTTATAATAGCTCCAGGCATCTAGGTTTATCTTCCCTCCTTTAGTTATGAATTTTCAAGCTCACATACCAAAGTCTACAAGGATGCAGCAATACTACCCGAGTTCATTGCCTTACAGTATGAATATTAATGGATTGAGTCCTGTCATCCGTTGAGCCTTCTGAAAGGCTCCTCAGTGAGTGATTGGACTATGTGGCAGCACTTTATCCTGGGCAGTTTTCCACTTAGTCATGTCTTCTTTGCTGCCCCATTCTGTAAATTTTTTATTGGGAATAAATTCAAATCAACTTTTGAAAACACAGTGACTGAAAGGGGCAAGACTAAGAACACCAAGCATACAATAAATAAATAAATTTTACTAAGGGAATCAATAACTGCATGACATATGCTTATGGGAAGCCCTCCTAAAAAAAATTCAAAAAGCATTCACATGACCTCTAAAAGCACCCACACATTAGCTACGAAACACATTAGGGCTGGCAAATCAATCAGATTAATTGACTGATTAATCTTTGGAAGTTGTTATAGTAATTTTTACAAGTATTAGGCAAAATTATCAACTGAACTTCAACTGACACCTCAACCCCCATAGAATTGGATCCTATTTGGGCAATGTGACAAATCTACTTTAAAGGGGCTAGAACTTCTGCAATGTCAAAAACTTTGTGAGAACTCGTGATGAGACTGGGAAAAGTGCATCTTCCTTGAAGTCAAAGCATGTTGCAAGGAGAGGGATATTGTAACCAAGGCAGGGCCAGGCTAGGCTTACCTCTCTCATGGGCATCTTGAGTTTGAGAATCTCTGCATATCGAGTAAGCACTTCCCATGGTGCATGAACTTTGATGAAACGCAGTTGACTCTCCACATTGTCTTCAAATTCCAGCTCAAGTCCCTCTTCCTCCAGGTTTTTTTCAAACACTTCCCTCCTCTGGACATGATGCAGTTGCAGGTGCTGGTCATCCATTTTCCATGCCAAAATGAAGTCAATACAGCGTCTCCCATCTTGAAAGTAAAGATCTGGGCTCTTTCCTTCTGACAGCTCCTGTGAAAAATTCCAAGTGGGTTCCTTGTCATGGAAAGAAAAGTTCACTTAGAATAGCATTCTGAATGATGAGCAAGAAGATTAAACAAATTGAATAGATTTTCAGAATTCAGGAGGCTGAATGTCTATATCATGCTCTATTATTTTCGTGCACCACAGACCCACTATGAACGTTCTAGAAATCTACTTTATCATGAAAGCATTCCCCTCATCAAAGCCAATAATTTTGTGAGGAAACACAAACAGGTAAACAATGACAGTTCTTGCCCACTAGGGCAAGGGTCAATCAGTGATGTAACCAGGTATTTTTTTCATGGGGGGAGTGGGGAGTAGGGAAAGGGCTCCTATAGTGTATGGTGGAGGAGGGGGATAAGGAGTCATTATGTTAGGCAGTAGAAGGGGGAGGAGAGGTTTGTAGTTATCTACAGGGTGGGTCACAAAAAAAGGAAGCCCATGATATTATGCATCTCATGCACCAATTTCATTCATTGCAGCCCAAGGTATTTCCCTCTACTGTTATAGCATTTAAACAGAAGCAATAGGTGCAAATCATGTTTGTAGTCCACTTGCATACTCTGCTATGACATCAATCTCTCACTACTACCAAAATGACTTTGTTTCAGGCTATGCACAGTTCTGATGGCACCTAGTGCCATTGGGAAACTGTTACTTTTTTTTAGAAGGAGAAGAACCATTTGACTCTATTATGCTGTAATAATTATGGAACAGTGTGTTCTTTCTCCACATTTCAGAATAACTGCATTTTCTGCATCAACCATGTCTTGATGCAATGAAGATCTTGTGATAATGACAGCAGAAGGGATAAGTGGCAAAGCAAATAATGAAAGAGTTTCCTGGAGAAAAAAAAACCTGGAAGAGAAGCACTTATGAGAAAATTATCAGAAAAGCTGATGCCACTGGATCAATAACAAGATAGGAAGGGAGTGAAAGGCCCAGGCAGTGAGAAAAAAAGGCAGAATTAATGAAGAACTGTCAAAAAGTATCTGAATTAATTTGTGTTCATCTGTTTGGATAAAAACTTGAAGCAAAAAGCAGATGAGAGTTGACAGATGCCAAGGTATGTGGAAGAGGTGAACCAGATGTGTGAGGTACAGGGTGGACCAAATAAAACTTTGGTTATCTTTATCGCTCCACAGCACTGGTCCCCAAGAGTTTGCTAAAATTGCAATAGCACCTCTGTTCATTCATTCAGCTTTCCAATAACGCAGCGAATAAAGATTTGTGGCATCATGCAGTGAGATAAAGAATATGAGAGGTGGCATTGGAAAAGTCGGTGCCATACTGTGACATCAGCTAGAGCATGCAAGAGGTCGCCTACTTGCCATAAGCGAAGGAATGGATGTCACCTGGAGCACATCTTATAGGGTAGTGGTAGGTGCACTTTTCAAGTGCTACCTCTGTTACACTGTGCATAACTGCATTGGAATGATGGAATGGATCTGAAATCTTTTGACATCAGGGGAAAGCTAGATAAATGTTCTATATAGAGATGCTATTACAATATTTTCAAACTCTTGAGAAACAATGCCGTGAAGTATTAAAGATAGCTGAAAATTTTTTTGGCCCACTTTGTATCTGGTTCACTGAGAAAATCTTCATGCCAGTAAATAGCTAAAATTCTCATGTTTACAGTCAAATTCTAAATATGAGTAAGTGCGATATGGAAATGGAGACTGATCTGAGAGTATGATCACTTTAGCAAGAATGTAATGGTGTCAGTGGGAGTTTTGCCCCTTGGAAAAACAGATATTATTTTGGTTGAGATTAGGGCAAAGGTGGCTTCCAAGTACTACTGCCAAATGCTACTGTCACAGTCTTTTGTCTGATGTTCACAAGAAATCAGGTGCAAAACTTGCTTCCAGCAAGATAGTGCAACATCACACACACAAAGGGCAATAGCCCAGTTTCTGCATTATGAAGTGCTAGACTTCACTGAGGATACCATATGGTCATCCAAAAGCCCTGATGCAAAACCTGTTTATTTACATTATATTAAGTGCAATGCAAGAAAATGCCTACCAGCACTAATTCAGAGAATTCAAAATTTAAAAGCCAAATGGGAATTCTTGGCAAGTCCCTTGCCCTTCTATTCATTTCGCTGTGCAATTGGACAGTGACATTCAATTGCAGGCCATTGTTAGCTAGAATGGACACATCAAATTTCTGTTTTTGAAGGAATAAGGGACAATAATTTTTCATTCTAAGCAGCTTTTTTTTCCATAGATACTGTGGTTATGCTTTATGATTATTCCTAAATATAAGGGCATCCATATTTTGGGCCACCCTGTATTTTCCAAGCCCGAGATGGGCTTGGAAAATACAGGGTGGCCCAAAATAAGAAGAAGGAAGGAAGAAGACTTTCACATCTAGCCAAGGCATATATAAGGTGGTTCAAAAAATCTTGGACCCCAAGACTATCAATGAAATTTACAATACCACTGGATAAAATCAAATTTAGTATGGGTGAAACTCTAGAGTATTGCTTCATGACAAAAAATGTTAATTTAGCTTGAGCAATAAATCTCCAGCAAATTTTCAAAGTGGCCCCCATCTTGGTCAATGCACATCACAACTCGCCATCTAAACAGATCGATTGCACTGTTTATTTAGGCTTGATATAAGAGTTGCCAAGCTTCATTGACAAACTCGATGAGGTGGTTTTCATCAGTATACATGTGCTGACACATTCTTTCCTTACATTATAAACCACTGGTCAGGTATGCAATTGTCATGTGACCTGACATGTGGCCCCAAACTCACCTGACTTCAAATCAATGGATTATTACATAAGAAAATATTGTATAAACACATGTACACTGAAGCCATTTGGGATGAAAACCTCATTGAGCATGTTAGTGAAGCTTGGCAACTCCTGTATCAAGCCTAAATAAACAGTGCAATTGATCTGTTTAGATGGCAAGTTCTGATTTTGCAATGACCAAGATGGGAGCCACTTTGAAAATTTGCTGTAATTGCTGGAGATTTATTGCTCAAACTATATCAACATTTTTGACATGAAGCAATACTCTACATAGGGTTTCACCTGTAATAAAAATTTATTTCATCCAGCGGTATTGTCATTTTCATTGATACCCTTGGGGTCCAAAATTTTTTTGGACCACCCTATAGAATGCAACAGGTTTCTTCTTCTGTGCAACCAATTTAAGATCTGTCAGGGCATGCTGTCATATAGTACATGCTTAATTATTCTGTCATATGGACAGGATAGATTTTATCAATTTTAAAGGGAAGGAGGTTCCTGTCATGGTCATTCCATATATTTATTTGATAAGGCTTATACATCTTCAGTAAACAAACTTCTTTAGCCTCCTATGAACCTAGCTAATCAACACTATTCATCCAAATAAACAAGTCTACTTTTCCTTGAAAGTACTTCTCAGAATTTATGACCCCCAACCAGACATACTTCAAGAATAAGGCAAGTCCATCAGTATTTATTCTATTTATTATGTCATATACATTACATATGCCTCATTCTCAAAAAATCACACATTACTTTTTCATATGGATAGCAGCCAAAACATTGAGTGCATGTGGCATTCATTTACCCAACACCTACAGTTTTATATCTAGTGTATACAAGACCCAGAATAACTGAAAATTATTAAGCAACAAGAATATAAAAAGGACAATCCTCCTTTTTATTCTTGTCATATTAAAACCTCAAGGCAGCTGAAAATTTTGAATCAACAGACTTGGAAATAATAACTTCTCTATTTGACACATTGCCTTTGCAAGAAATGAAAGTGTCACAACAAGAAATGAGAGGGGTCTACTTTAGAGCAACACCTTTAAATAGGTCTTCATAGTTGAACTCAATGATAAGATTTTGGTTCCAGTAACAAATGTCTGGCCCTGGCCTACCACCCACATGGTATAGGTATTTATACCTTGTTTATATCAAGCTGGGTTATTCGTGCAACTCTCAAGAAATGCAGGGGCTCCACAGTCCCTCAAACAAGGGTCAGAAAAACTAATTCTCTATGAAAAAAACATGGAAAGAGGAAAGATAAAACCTCATTCTAAGGTCTATATACAATAGAATCAGTCTACACACATAAAAGTTACTTCAAATTCAATATTAAAATATTTGCTTAAATAGTCCCTTTATGGACACCCCATATAGCATGAGAAATACAGTTTATTCTTATGAATACAATCCTGCAGTGAAACCACTCAAAAAGTTTCCTGATACATTTCATGCTCTAAACCACTCCTGAATTGTGATAACATATGGTTTGTCAATTTTTGCCAATGTAACAGCATTTCCTAAAATGGACTGCTTTCCCATATCACAAGATTCCTGTGACCACCTCCCTCCGAACAAGGATACATCATGATTGACTGGTTTTCAAAGTACAGAAACCTCAAACTTTTCTTCCTGAGGAAACGAAAAGGAGTCAATGAATACAAACCATTTCCCCATTTTCACACATCCTTTGCAGATGGACCAATTTTCCTTGCAGGCCTTCCATTGAAATACAAGATAATAAAGGATATGTTGTTGGGGGAGGGGCATCCCATTACTCCATGTCAGTTTGACAAAGCATGAGCAGGAATCTATTGATCAAAGACATAGGCACATCTTGAGTGGATCTATTATGCCTTAAGTGACTGAGGAATGCATTCTGATCATTTTGGCGTCCCGGTTCAGCTCTACAGGTGACCTTGGGGGACGATTTTCTAAAACGTCCAGGTTTAAAATAATAATAATAATAAAACTGGTAACTACAGTTCAGGTCCCATCTGAAGTTATTCATGGAACTTATACAAACATCACATAACATCATACAAACCTGCATTCTGATAGCCTCTCCATTTGTTTCAGCTTCAATATCGTCCATTGTGGAAGGAGGCAAGCGTGCATTCCTAAGAGTGGAATGCGACCCTTCCAGTCACGTGTGGATTTCCTGGGAGCGGCCACATTAGGCTTTTCGAGCCCGGTCATTGGTTTTCTCACGCCCCGCCTTATGTCATGGCTACGGCCAACAAAAACGTGGCACGTCAACGGTGGTTCTGTGCCCGGTTTTGGATCTGGTCCATCGCATCATTCAGTGCTGTTGTATAGCCTTGAAAAGTACCTTATTCGGTTTCATAATGAATAGTGAAAGATTAAGGGTTACTTGGAATTGAAATGGGGAAGGGATTGCTGGGATTTCAGAATGAAGACGCTTTCATGGCATTGAACCATTTTAACATCGTACCGTTATAGCCTAACGAGGCAGGTTTAGCTGAGCCTGTTTAAATATAATCCACTCGGTTAACTTGAACCTCCATGTAGACTATCACTAGCATTCCTTAGACTTCGGTGTCTTTTCGTACTAAAAGACGTAAAGGTGTTCGTCGAAGAATCGTCAGGTGTGCCGTGAAATCATGAATCGCCGTGTCTATGCCTTTCCCAATTTGGGCATTAGTTGCATGCACACTAAGAGTTGGAGTTTTAATAGCTGGTTTGCATGTCTCGAAGTTGCAAGGTGTTGGAGATAGTAAAAAAATAAAAATAAAAAAATGTATCCATTCCATTTAGTCACATTTTTTAGTGAATTTAGTGATTCACATTCTCTCCCTGACCAAAGACTTCATCAAGATGACTTTCAGAAGATAATAAAACTTTCAATAAATTAAAGAAAAGTTTGTCTCACTTATGCTTGACAGCTGATTCAGAGGCAATTGATGACATTGCCCTAGACATGGGATCTAGTTCTTCCCCAACTTCTCATTAACAAGCCTTCCCTTCCCTACATAAATATCCCAACAAAATGGCCATGGTTATGCTGGTAGCATAGGGAGACCAGATTTTTTCAGGAAAAACCAGGACATTTTCAAGAAAATGCTATAAGGATAGTCCTTGTAATGTGAAAAACAGGGACACAGAAGTCAAGACAAGTTCTTGACTTCAGTCAAGAACTTTTATTGAGCCTTTACAGGCATCAGATTCACATTGATATTTGCTAGAAGAATGGATTTGTCTTAAGACATTTCCCTCCTTGCTCAGTTTTTCCTGAAATTCATTACAGCTGAGACCAAAATTTGCTTTCACAAAGAGCAAGATCTTGTTTGTGGCTTCAACAGAGATTTCCTATCACTCTGATTTCATTGCTGAGAAAATTCATTCCACTGGCGCATTGGTCCCTGGAAGGCAGAGAGCAATAGTAGTAATACTTTTGGAGTTCTCTTAAGAAATACTTTAAAATTGCAAAATGCCCCTTTCCATTTCAACTTCTTTTTCTTGAGCATTCCATGCATCAATTCCCCTACCAACAAAAGCAATTAAGCAGGTGACTTCATCAAAGAGTTTGTCATAATCAAAGCACACAGAAATGGGAATCTTCTCAACTATGAAATGTGGTATAGAAGCAGTGATCATCTTGAGCAAAAATATAAAGGGAAGGGAAGAAAATACTTGGACACAGGAGCAATTTAGTCTAAAACCAGGACAGAGCCTGAAAAACTAGGACTATTCTGGTAAAACTGAGATATATGGTCACCCTATGGTTCAGAAAATGTCTTTACAACCTGTTTAGATAAAAACTTGGTATTCCTTTGTTTTTTGCACACCTAGTTTGCGTAAACTTGGTCTGGTGCACACTGGGGCAATGTTAGAGTTCATAATTGGGAATGGATCAGTTGTGGGTGATGTGCATGTATACTGCAACCTGCAGCAGTCACCTTAGAAGTGAGTGGTGTTCTCCCAGATGGGAGAGGGAGTCATTGTGAGCAGCTTAGCAGCAGGACTCCCACACTCCATATGGAACACACTGTCCAATGTGACAGTGAGCAGAATGAACATTCAGCAGACCTAGTTGTGTGTAGATGAGCCCATGATTACCTCTTTTCTTGCAATCACATCTGCAAATGTCTCTCTCTGTGAGGATGCACTTGCCACCGACAATCCTAATAGGGAGAGTTTGTGTGACAGTTGTCTGCTGCTAAATGACAGAAGCGTCATCCCACAGATCAACTCAGAACTATGAAATTCCTGCTTCTGATGCTACATGAACATGCTTAAGTTTATATGGGTAGGCATCATGTATCACCTTTCCAATCTCAGAGGAGATAAACCAGAAAGGTGATAGTACAGGGAAGTGATAGTGGGGTGATGGGGAAAGTAACTCTATGCACAAACCAGTAACCTTTCAGTTCAGGGACCAGTTCCCTCCTGAGCCAGTGACAGATTTTCCTTAGTTACGGTTGCAAGAGTTCAACAATGAACCATGAAGTTCGGTCTCTGATGAGTGGGGATTGCCAGTGGCAAGTGAAATATATGCATCCTGGCAAAGGGATAGAAGTTTGGGTGTACCAAAGTTGGTGAAGCTTGCAGATGCCTGAGGTATACCAATGCCTGATTGGAAGGAAAAAGGCAATCATAGGCTCTACTATGCACAGGCAAGAAGGTCTACTGAACGTTCACCCTTCTCACCCTTACAGCAGTGTGTTCCACGTTGAACATGGGAATGGAGGTTCAGTCCTCATTGGAAATTAGTATTCACATAATGAAGTTGTGATTCATATGCAGTGTTCACCAGAATTCACAGTGTGCACAAGACAAAGGAATGCCAAAAACTTAATAGAATCAGGGTTAAATAAATACTTTTTTTACCCTGATTTTTGTGAAATATAAAAATAAGGCAGAAGAGTGCATACCACTTGAATTATAGACATCTGCCATATGGGATTATAGGCTAATTACTGTTATCCCTCAAGTCATGGTCCCTATGATGCTTCAAATTTGGGTATATCAGGAAACTATATTTTAAAAAGTCATGCCAATAATGCTGGAAGTGGTCTGAAATAAAACATGCAAGAGCTACACTCTATCCAGTTTGTATCTATAAAATTTATTATGCACAGTGCAAATTGATTCTACATCATCCAATGCAGTGATTTTGTGATGAGTTCACAGACCCTTATAATCCAAGCAGATATATATATGAGCCTACTGACAGCAGGATTAAAATTTAATCTAGTATTACATATAACATGAAGTGGTATTCAGTAGATGTCCCTAGAATTGAGGTGCTGGTAGCACCAGCATCCTTTTGTTAATGTGTAAATTCTTAGCATGGTTACTGTGGTCTGTTCATATCCAAAGGGAAAAGAGGGAAGAATGGGGGATTTCTAATTTTTACTGCACATAAATTTATTACTTAAAACTTTCAATCATAAATTCAGTTAATTTAAGTTGTATCAGCTGATTCCTGGATTTTGAAATAGGTTTTCATGAACACTTGTTTTTAATTTTCAGTAAGTAATGCTACAGCAAAGAGTGGTGTCCCAGTGGGAGCATGGGGATCCAGGTGACTTGGGTTCATATCCTGCTGCCACCCTTGCTTTTATTCTCAAAATTTGTCATTTTCTCAGAGTCTGATGCATAAGAGCAGAAGAAAGTGATCTATTTTAGAGATTTATAGATTAGTTAGGTATAAAATTGAATACTTCACAACTATGATTTGATCAATTTTTAAACCTGACTTGCATAGGACTCCCCAAAATACTATACTATTAATACATTACTTTTATACATTACTATCTTACTCTCTCAGCCAAATAGTAACAAAAGGCAACTCACTGGGGACATGGCCATCAGCAGAGCCAAAAGGATCTGATCTGGAGCACAGCTCCATTTTGTGAAATCATGGTAATTGCCTATTTGAAAAGACTGAAGCTCCTGCATAAGTGATGCCTCGTTCATAGCCCTTGTAGCCCCCTAAGTGGTGTGTGTTGCTCTCTAACATAACATCTCTCCATGTACTTGAATTTTAGTTAGCAAAAAAAAAAAGGATATATGGGAATTGCACCTGAAACCTGGAATTACTTTAACACGTAGCAATATCCACTCAACCACTATGCCACACTACATGGGGTCATTGCCACAATATCTATACAATATGATACCCAGTCCAAAGCATAGGCAAACAACTTCTGCCATTTTCTCTCATGATCCACAAGCCTCAGATAGAATTTGTTGCAATCAAACCAAAACCAAAAAAAAATGTAATCAACTGAGTTCCAATTTATGAATGTTAGTAGTTATCTGGCAAGGTCTTGACCAACCCACATGCCTGCTTACCTTTGAGCCCTGTAGTAGTAGGATGTAATTTATTTTAAGCTATATCATTCATTCGTTTTCTCAATCTTGGTGAAGATAGATGGTGAAGTTGGGATAGGTTTATCCCAACTCAGCAGACCAGAATAAGTGAATACCTACCCATCAGCATACCTATTTGAAAAATGCTAATACTCTTAATTAATCTAGCATCTACTTTGTAGACTGATGAAGGAGACTCCCAGACTTGGAGGCCTTTTGCTGACACTGAAGATGCTTTCATAAGGAACTTTTTGTTGTTGTTTTGTTGCTCTCCATGAATAAATTTTTAGAGATTTTTCAACTAGCCTCATATCTTTTTGCTTGAAAGTTTTGGAACTTGTTTACAGTCATGCTTGCTGATATGTACGAGGGATTTCTCAAAAGTTCTGCCAGTAGCCCCAAAGTAGCACTTTGCGGCCGCCTCTGATGACGACCTGTGGGCTACTGGCAGAACTTTTGAGAAATCCCTCATACATGCCTAGAGACTGGGTTCCCCAAAGCATAGTGGTTTGCACACCACTCCTTCAAAGGATTGATGCTGTAGTGAGGGAAATGAGGCTTCATTCTTATACTTCCAGGTGGATAAAGACTAAAGCATTGTGTATGATCTCAGAGATATGGCTACATTTTTGTACAGGCCTAGAAGAAGACTTCACTAATATATATTTTTTTTTTTTTTCATTTAGGCTTACTGTTCTGTTCTGTTCTGCATTTTTCACTTGGATGCTGATTCTTCAATGAAAAGTGCTATGCTCTCTATTCCTAGGCATTTGGCTTGAATGTGACTTTAGAGAGAATCCAATTGGCATAGTTTATAAATCTGCAGCTTCGGATAGGAGCTCGAGTGTGCCTGACTGTGCAAGCTGTAACTTGAAAATGAACACAATATGGTCTCGCATGAATGCTATGTTTGCATTCTTTCTCAGTGTGTTGTCTGCTGTCACATTCATCTGCTTCCTTTCAACCTTTTTCAATCCCTACACATCATCACTTGATATAAAGACCTTGGATGTCTTTGTGTGAGTTTCAATTTCCTTTCTAAGGAATAGATTTACATTGTTTATTCCATTTTGGGCAGATTTTAAAATGTAATGTTCATGCTTTCTTCACAGAAGGAATGTGGCTGATTTCAGTGCTGGGAGAGACAAGAATGATCTGGGATTCCTTCGTTTCAATCTTAAAGCAGATATCCTTTTCATTGACTTTTTGTTCACATTTGGGCATTTATCATAAATGTAGTCGCTATGTGTTGGTTAGATACAGCTGTCAGGATTGTCTGTGGGACACAAGAATTGTCTCTTGCCTTTTAAGCCAGGAAAAAAACAAATGCATTTTTATTGTCAAGCTTTAGGATATTATAGTGACTTTAAAGATAGATATATGGTCCTATTGCCAAGACTTAGAAGTTACACTTTTTTTTACATTCTTCACTACAACTCCAAAATAACTTTCTAAATGAGCCAATACTCCTTGTCAGGGGTATTCTTTCCATCTCCCAACTTTTTAATGGCTGATTTTTTCTCTATACTGAAAGTATGATAGCAAAACAAGTTATGGTATTAGTGGGGGCCTATAGGTTAAGACCACCTAAGTTTGGACACTGTTACAAACAATATTACAAAACTAAGCAATTTGCAAGGCCACCTTCAAAAACAGTTCTTCCTAACTTGAGATGAACATGTTCCTGAGTGAAGGAGTAGCGGTGGTCATGATGACCTTGCACAATTCCAAGATATTGGGTTTAGACCAATGCTATATCTCAAACAGGAGGAATTCTTCAAGAAACCATAAGGAAAAAACCTTACTTTTAAAACGTTTCAAATGTGACATTGTTGTTTTCTGCACCCAATTCTTACTTCCCAGGAAACTAGGAAGACATGGAGTCCTGTTATGCAGAATGCATGTGCATAGATAAGATTATTGTCTTACTTTCAGTGTGTTCAAACTTAGGTAAAAAATGTATGAGAAACTTGAGTTCACATGTCATATCCTCATAAATTTGAAGTCCTCTTGAGATAAAGAACAATTAAAGTTGACTAAACCTCATTTATGGCATGTTTTTAAGAGAAAATGTATTTTGGAGCTCTGTCTGAACTTTCATAATGGGACATGTAACTTATACCATTGACCACATGCACAAAAACTACAGTATCATGTATTTCTTTACACATCTATGTGTGCAACGTGCCTCCAAAGCAGTGCTGTCATGGTAAGAGGTTGGAATGCAAGGGATTATTGATCTGAGGCTGTTGAAAAAGCCATCAGAGCTTCAGGTGAGATGTCCTTCCAGAAGGTAAACATTGCTCATGGTGAACATGTCTGCTAGATAAACTTTCTTCCAGGAATTGTACTTTCAAATTCAGAGCAGGAATATGTCCCTGAAGTTTGATGTTTTCTGAATTGAGCATGCATAGAAATACTTGTCTACTTAATGTAATGAACTGTGCCTTCCCAGTCTGCTTTTAAAAAAGAAATTCTAAAAACATGACACTAATGAAAAGTGTGCATCCAAGGAATTTACCATAAGAGTAGGATTTTTCCAGAAATAACCAACTGGAGAGCAACCTACGTGCCAAATTCCAGGTTTCTATATCTGCCCCTGCCCAATTCAATGTAGCAAAATATATTCAAAAATATGGTTCCCCCAAATGTACCCTCATAAAATATATCCCAAAAGTTGGATTTTCCCTTATGTCTGCATACCAGCAGGTACCTATTAAGTAAGGTTTCAGCCTTTTGTCTCCATGATTCCCTGGAACAAATTTTTTTTTTAAAGGTCCACCTGAAAAATATGCCCCTGGAAACAAATCCTAAAAGTAGCTTATTCCCCCCTGAAATCTGCATCTCAGTAGGTACCGATGCGCCAAGTTTCAGCTTCCGTGTCTCTGTTTTGTTGGAGAAAGAAAATTTATGGAGATATGTCTCTCTTAGAAATAGTACCTGAAATCTGCACCATCAGAGTTATTTGTGTATCAAGTTCAAACTTTCAATCTCATCTAGAATATGGTTAGAATTAAAGTCAGAAACTCACTCACTCAATCATGATCGTCCTATTCTAGAAAGAAAAAGATCCAATATTTTGGGAGCAGGTTATCATTCCTTTACATCAAAATTAAGTGTTTCAAGCCTCATTGAGACTTCAAAATGAGGGTGTCTGAACTTAATTTTTGTTTGTATCTAAGTTTGCACATCCATATTATAGGCAATATCAGCAGTCATAAGGCTAGGAAGGACTACATCTTTGTTGCACTCATACCTCATTGTGTCGTGGCCCCAGGAGCAAAAAATGATGCTTCCAGCTTGTACCATTGAGATAGGATGAACGAATGATGAGGCTGGTCAAGCTTTACTGTCTGAACATTGGCAGTTTTATCCTATTGCAAAATTCAGTCTCTGAGTAATTAATATTTAATGAGACTGCTTTATCCATTTGCTGTGACTTTTACATATGTTAGATGCAGCACAACTAGCAAAAGTAATAGATCATTAGAATTATTGCTACAATCCACTTAAACCTAAATGGTAAAAGTTCTGTAACTGTGACATTGACCCATTCCTGCTGAACTGCAAACCTGTCTTTGGGAGTGTTCACTGGACTAGTGAGATGGGCCAGTGGGCATTTTTTATTAACTCATCCCCTTCTTGATTATACATTCTCTTCTTGAATTTTGGCATTGTGTCTCTGTTTTTATTATTATTATTTTTTCTTTGCTGTAGGACTGATCTGGTGTTGCAAAAGCCAACTCTGAAGCTTTTAGACTTTCAGTCTAGTTGTTGTTTGGAAAGAAGCAGTATGAACATTGAACCAGGAGTAGGTCCTGGTTCCATGTCCACACTGCTTTTTAGAGTTGGAGTGTATTTGATAGCTACTGGTGTCTAGCATAGAATTTTACTCTGGATGCTTGGCAAAAAATTTTTTTGAAGTAAGCAGAAAGACTGATCCATTGTAATGGTAGAGTTGGTTTTTTATTTTAAATTGTATGACAATATATATATATTAAAATTCTTCATTGCCTTTTTAGTATTTTTCCACTGATTGCACTTGAACAGAAGGGCAGGATCCCATTGTCCATACTCCTAGTCTTATTGTAGTTATGAACAGAAGGTTCAAGGGGAAGTATTATTATAATTTATTTCTGCATGAGAGTGTACTTACTCATAACTTGATTTTCTTTAACTGAAATATATACATTTGAACCCCTTATTCAACTGGAATGTGAAGCAACTATTCATCTACCTGACTGCTGAATACAAGACCAGTACCAGCAATTTTGATCAGGTGAGGATTGAGGACTGAGTAGTTGAGAGTGGAGTTGGTTGTCAATATCAAGTCCACCAACAGTTCCCCTGAAAAGGTAAAATTTTGATGTCTTTGGGCAGGGGATATATTGTTCCCACTCCCTGGGTGGTTTGGCAATTGTCATTGAGTAAATGCTCAATAGTTATAAAGATATTATCTTTTTTCTCCACATATAATATTTTAAAATAGATACAGTAAATACTTTAATTTTTTATTTCTAATTGTTGATCATGTGCTATTGGGTCATACAAAAACTAGTGGCTACTTGAACTAGAAATATAAACAAGGTGAGGCAAAAGTATGTTATCCCAAAGAAAGGATTAATTTGTCAAATTTTATTGCATATTGTAATTAAAACACATTATACAATATGCCCTCAGGCAATATATAATATCAATATGAACTAACTAGAAAAGTTTTAACCAAACTACTACAATATGTTGAGCCAACTTACTTTTGCTCATCCTGTAATTATAATGGACTATTTTGCCCATCTCTTCATGGGGGGGATTGATCAACCAGTCTAGGAATGAATGTTGGTATGAGGGCCACTCAATAAGTTATCTACCTGAATATGAAAGGGATGAGCAACAGGCCTGTGCCTGCTGTGACATGTCTCGACAGGTCTCGTGAGTGCCCCACCACTATACCAGCTCAGTGGCTTAAGTCCATTCAAAGTGGTAGCGCATTAGATTTCTTTTCCTGAGTCTGTGTAATGGATTTGATGAAAGTTGAACATCGTTCAGTGATGAAATTCCTCACCAAAGAAGGGAAAGCAACTAAGGAGATTCATGAGCGTATGTCTAACTTTTATGGTGTGTCTTCGCCTTCTTATTACCAAATTAAATTTTGGAGCAAGCAGTTTAAGTGGGGAAGAGAGTCAATCGAAGATGACCCAAGATTGGGGCACCCTGTGGAGGCTTCTGATCAGGAAATGTGTGACAAATTGGAGAGTGCGATACTGGAGGATCGTCGCACCAAAGTCTCTGTTTTAGCTCATGAACTGGGGATTTCAGAGGGCACAGTGATTCACATTATTCATGAAAAATTACACATGTCCAAAGTCAGTTCTCGATGGGTCCCAAGAATGCTGACTCCAGCTCAGAAGAAGAACAGATCTGACATCTGCAAGGAAAACTTGGAGTTTTCTAAACAAATCGGGGAAACTTTTTTCCCCAGAATAGTAACTGGTGATGAAACTCGGGTTCAATACTAGGATCCCGAAACCAAGCAGGAGTCCATGCAGTGGAAGCACAAGGGATCACCAACGCCTCGCAAATTTCGTGTTCAGAAATCTGCAGGAAAGATTATGGTCACTGTGTTTTGGGACAGCGAGGAACTACTGCTGCTTGAGTTCATGTCAGACAAGTGTACAATCACTGGCGATTCCTATGCTACCACCATGGAAAATTTACACGATGCCATCAAGGAAAAACGCAGAGGAAAGTTGTCAAGGGGGGTCCTTCTTCTCCATGACAAAGCGGCCGTCCACAAATCATGGAAAGTTCAGGCAGCAGTGAGGGAGTGTGGCTTTCAGGAGCTCAACCATCCTCCCTACAGCCCGGATCTGGCTCCTAGTGACTATTTTCTGTTCAGACACGTGAAAAAATTGTTGCGGGGAAAAAGATTTTCATGCAATGAAGAGCTGAAAGTTGCCGTTTTTGATTGGTTTGATGGACAAGAAGTTGACTTCTATTCCCAGGGAATAAAATCCTTGGAATCAAAGTGGAATAAGTGTGTTGAGTTAAAAGGTGACTACATTGAAAAATAAAGTGTTATTTTTCCCCTCGGATGTTTCTTTCTCATTCGGGTAAATAACTTATTGAGTGACCCTCGTATGTCTGTCCCTGTTTTACGGAAATTTCAAATCAGCTATTTATCAACTGATCTGTGACATCAGTACCAATGGTACTAACTAGTGTAGGCCTCTGAAGTCTAACAAATGATGAAACATGCCTGCAAAAAAAAAAAAATTTACATTGTGCATTTATGAGCTTATCCAAATAATATTTGAAATTCTGGGTAAGGCATTTGTAAACAATGTTACTCCCCCTTAATATTTTGACTCCCACTGTTCAGTTAACTAGAGATACTGGTTACCTTCCTGTGATTCATAGTAGTCAACATGTTAAATTTCTTTGCACTAGATTTTGGCATCAGCTACATGACTTATCATGAATAAAGTTCACTGTTAGACAAAATGTATACATTTTCCAAAATTAAGGCTCTCTTCAATCTCATAGTAATTGAATAGTAAAACTTGGAATTATTTCATTTTCTAATACTTCAATTATTACCAAACTCACTTCCTTATCCCTAACACTTGCTTAACCCAAATGCTATGATACATTTAATCAATGACCATTACGGTATTCAATCCAGCTGTATAATCCAGAGACTCTCTATAGGTTGTTCTCTGGGACAAAATCATACTTCGAGGGGACAATGCATCATTTGATCTCAAGCAGATGAATACCAAGTACTATTTCTTTGATGACGGCAATGGACTAAAGTGAGTTCTGATAGTGACTGAATTTTTTCTTCTGGTCCTCATTTCATTAATACAACTGTTTTTCTTTGGACAGGGGAAATGATAATGTGACTCTGACTTTGAGATGGAATGTGATACCAAATGCAGGATACCTGCCATTGACCACTGGATCTGGAAGTCATAGTTTTGCTTTTCCCAAATCGTATCATCAGACACAGGCCCCAAAGTGAGGACTTCATCAGATCAGTGAAGATGATCATGTAAAGTTCTGAGTTCGGAAAAATACCACCTGGTTGTGCATTTCCTGGAATAAAGAGAGAATTGACCTGATCTAATTGTGAGCATCAGTTGCTATATCTTTGCTTGGTTGACAGGTTTTTTGGCAGAATGTAAGGCTTTTCCCTCTGTCCCATGGAAATATACTGTTTGTCATTCACCTTTGACTTTCCATCACAAGAATGTGTGACACTGTGAAGAGAGCCTGAAGTTCCTCCTGCAATCCAGTCAACAGGATATAACAGCAAAAAAAGACTCACGAGTCCTAAGCTTTACATCTGCACTTACTGAAGCCATTCTTAATGAATCGTGCTGTGCACAGATTGATGTTTCCAGCACCTTGGAATTTCATGTAAATTTGTTCCGCTGGAGCAAATCTTTAAGCGATTATTGAAAAGAAATCGAAATTGAAATTAGACAGGGGACTCCTGCTTATGCAGGATGGGTGGACTACGCTCAAGCATCCAAGGCAAAGGTTCTCCCTCCTTTTAACTCCCAGAAAGGACCCTTGTCTATCTTCAATATCCAACTTCTTTTAGTAATTCTATCGGCTTGCTCTGGGATGATGAATTTCACATATCATGCAAACTTAGCATGCAAACTTAGCACAGTGCAAGTATCGTGAAAATGGTAGCAGTAAGAGCAGAGACTTTTTGGTTAAAAGCCGCGGGTCCCTTTTGCCATAGCCTGTAAAGTTAGAACGTATTAGAGTAACTAGAAAAATGTGGGCATGTCGCGCAGCAATGTGGACGATAGAAGGGTAGGAGGAAATTTTAACGTTTCCTTTCTTCCCATCCTTTTTAATGAGGACTCACCCTGACCACTCTTCATGATCCTAGAACTATATTTTCCATGGGTCCAGTAAATGTATCGTGTCTGGAAACCAGTTTTGCTCTCTTTATTTTTCCTCATAGGGTAAAACCTCCTAAGTTCGGACACCATAAAATAAACTGTTATAAACAAGGAATTTGCGAAGTCACCTTAAGAAACAGCTCTTCCATGTTCCGAAGAACTGTTTCTGTGAAGCCATGCTTCACAGAAACACGCTTGAATTATAATCGTTTTTGATGGGATCGCTTGCGGTGAATCGGACCTGATCGTAGAATACTTTTTCGCGCGGATGAGGCATTTTCACATAGGAGCGTACGTGAAAGCCCGCGGTTCAAGGAAGAGCTAACCTATATAGAATAGCTTTCTGTGAAAAGAGATCCGACGCACGTTGGTGTTGCAGGGGCCCTAAAGTACCGTGCTCGCCCTCAAGCTATAGTTGAAAGGAAATTAATTCGAGTCAAATCTTCGATAATTGACTCGTTGAAGCAACACCACTTTGGGTTCATAGATCAGAGAAGTGCTGCAGAGGAAGATTACTTAAGGAAGGCGTGCAGGAAAAATCAGTTAAAGAGGGGAGAATACTTCGGATGGAACTAAAGCCTTGATAATGGTTCGCCGTTTACTGCGAGACTGCAAGATGCTTCATTGATATTTTGCATATAAATAACATATTGTGTCATTGTTATATTGCTGCCGTATTTTGAGATACGATAGTCGTGTTTTTAGCATGAAATTCTTAGTGTAATGGTTTGACAAGAATCTGTTACCTGACAACAGGCATTCTCAGTTTTACAGTTACGCGTCAGAAACTAAGTGTATGGACAACCGAATTTCAACTAGAATTGAGTTGTACATAATGTGATGCTGTTTTTTGCACCGTTTCGTGCATCGACAACCATTGCCGATCAATAAGTTACAACTCCTCAACACGGTATACTTGACAGGATCATCTGCCGGAACGTGGTTGTTCGGCAGAGGTTCATTGTCTTTCCACACCGTGGAAAGACGTCACCGATACACAAAGTGATAGGAGGGTGCTGCATCACCCCGAACTCGATTCTCGCTTAACCTAGCCTTAGAACTCGGGACAAAAAAAAACTATCATTCCGTCTCGTCCCGTTCCACCTTCCTAGTTTTTCGGGTGCATTTTACCTTTTTTGCCTGTCTTGTAAAATATGGATGCAAATACATATACGCACACGTCCTCCAACAACCCATCCACTTTTTACGAAATGTTAGATTCAAAATCAATAACGAAAACAATATTCGTCATACCGCAGGCACAACTCCAAAAAGCACGTTGACAACAGTATTTTAGATGCTTTCTCCAGTCTTAGGGTCATCAGCAGTAAAATTGGAGACCTCAAACAGGAAATGCTTCAGCTTGAAATTTTCATTGATATAGTATTCAGGTAAGCTGAAGGAGGACAGCTTACGATATTGGTTCCGTCCTCAAATCTGTCGTGACGACAATCCCAGCGCTCAGGGCGGCATGTTGCATGCAAAGCACAATTTTCTTCCAGATTCTGCGCCATTTTCCGTGCAGTTGCACAACAGCGTAGGATGGTGTGGTATCACATTCTCAACCTTCATGGTTCTTCCGTACTTAACGCCAAACTCGATTAGTTTCTGAGGGAGGGAACAAAATATATTATCCACTGACCGCATTCACGGGGCGCAAATGTCAAGAAATTGCATTAATTTGGCCATCACTTTCCTTTTATCCCCTGCCGACACATTTCTTGGATTTTAAAGTGAGACAGCAGAGTTCCCGAAGGGGCAAACTTCCACTGCCTGAATTGTGCTCGCAGGTGGTGGTGCGCAGGTGTCTCATCAAACCAATCTTCCGAAATTTCATGCTTAAAACTTCTGCGATCGCTTGTAGTGATTACAACAACAAAATATTCCAACCGTTAGTCTTCGTTTAGATCACAGAAACCTTTCCATACCTCTGACGTCTGCTTTCGCGTGCCGATCTCTGCCAACAATTATACACCGCTCTCAAGTTCTTGCTTACACACAGCTCGGAATGCCCCATCTGTTTTTGCTTCTCATTGGCAATTTATCAGCATCCGGTCAGAAACTCCAGATCTAAAGCTAGGTAAAAGCAAAAAAAAATCGTAAATGAACAAAAGGGCTTACCTCTCACTTGCACTTCACTGCAGATAATGAAAGTTACGTTGCTAATAATCCACGATATAGATAAATTCTGGCAATTAAAGCTGAGCTGGGCAACCCTGAACGTACATGTCACTGACGTTCCTCAGGGTGGTCCGTGCACCAACTGACGCTAAATTCGAGAAGGAAAGTCTGGGTAGGTTTTTCTCCGTTTCGAGATGGCATTGATATGGTTTCAAGTCTGATCCCATCTTGGAATGGGGTATAGGAGTTTGACACAGGGCTCAGGGCACACTTAGATCCTGTGAAGAGATTTGAAGAGGTGTTGGAGCTGTCCTCAGAGGAGGGAGGGGGGGGGGGTTCTCTTCTGGTTATTTCTTTTTTTTTTATTCATTTGTTTTTAATGCTTAAGTCCCGCCGCAGGACATCCCATCCTATGCAGTGCACTACTTCGGCTGCCGATGCGTCCAGCTTTTACCATGCAATTGCGTAAAAACCGAAAATGCGAGTTGTCAGATTCCGTGGGGTTTTTTAAAATCGTTGCACAAACTCGCAGGACGGTTATGCCAAAAGTCACAACGTCGACAATACTACATCAAAGTACTGCAGCCACATTAAAAAGACATACTTCATTCATATGCGAAATATCGATGAAATATCATGCACCCTCTCGCCGTAAACAGAGGACTGCCAAGACTTTCCTTCAAACCGAAGTACAATGCTGATTTTCCATCCTGCATTCCACTACACACTGCGTGCTGTCTGGATGAAAAAGAAAAGCAGACAGCATGGATCCCTCTCGTCTCAACATGTCCGGTGCTAAAGATCCTTCCATCCAGGTGCACCCGATTCCTCGCACGGATTGCAGCTGTGCGGGACTTTTCTAGAATTGGCTTGAAACGGTAGGAAAGGCTTTATTTCCATTTCCTCACGATGTCCGCTCTCCTTCTTGCTTTATTCTGCGAGGGTTCCCATTACTTTTTTGTACTTCCTATTTTCATACCACCTCTTTTATTACTGAAGGAGCGCAAAACCGGCTGCATTCCATGACCCCAATTAATTTCTATAATAAAGCATTAATTTCAAGTTGAGGCTCTTCAACGTGGCCATGAGAGGAAATAAGAAAGTAGTGCTTTCTCTGTAATCATAAAATATGAATTCGAGTAATTCACACTGTCATATGGTTACAGGCTTCTTGCAGAAGCGGAGTCTCCATCTGGTGAGATTCAAAAATTCCATTTTTACGGGTTGTTGCAAAGGTGGAGAAACGAAATCTAGCCCTCGTTTAAGGTTGACAATTGGCAGAGCCATATTTAGCCTAAGCAATGCAGAAAGACTATCCAGGTCAAAGATCATGCGTGACCACGTATGTGTAGGGGAGGATACGTGGAGGAAATGAATCCGTCGTGGACGATGAGGGGGCGGTGGCCCTGCCACGCCCCAAAACGACATCATTAGTATTACACTACTTCCACTTGGTAGAGTGGTGAAACATCAAGTCCTGCAACGAGGAAAAGAAAGATGAACAACGTGTGGCTCTCCGCTACCATGCGGTAAAACAGTGGCATCATTGTCACTCTGTTGGTCAGACTGACATTTAGCCTTCCACTCACCAATATCTTCGTTCTTTGCAGGTTTCTCCCTCTTCTGTTCGCATCTCTTTCGATCGTCCACGGGTGAGTAATTTTTTTTTCATCTTCGATGAACAAGAGGATCATCATGTATGGTCGTGTCATGGGTGTCCTCTAGTTTCTTCAGGGGGAGGAGGGATGTGTCCTCTTCTGGGTCTACATTTTGAAAAGAAGCCTAGTTTTTCTCTCGTTTGTCCCACCACAGCAATTATCTAAATTTGATCATAGATGAAACTTAACCCTTTCGCGGGGAAACTTTTTTATCAAGTGCAGCCTTCCCAGACCACGGGAAGGTTGAAAGTTTTCTGGAAAGAATACTTCCCACTGCCCGTGAAAGGGTTAACTGATGAATGAAACCCAATAGTGATCATGATTGTCATGCTGAAGATACGCAATGGAACTTTAGAGGGAAGGAGCAGACGTATTCGATCTCACAGTCGTGGGAGGGTAACCCCTTGGGTCACCCAGCGACGAATGTCACGTTGAGTGCGGATGACACGAGGCCGGGTGTCCTCAAGATCCGCGTCGCTTCCTTCTGGTTCAACGACCCGAAACCCGTCCCGACCGAGGGCCGCACCGACCTCAACATGAAAGATTACGACGAAGCCTCTCGATTCTTCATGATTGCCGAAAGTGAGCTTTTCTGTCCGACCTCTCCTCCGTAAAAATTGATTGCCATCGCCTTCAAAATTTTATTCGTGTCTTTGATTTTATTACAGCCATAGAACTATTCTTCTCGAACGCCGACCATCAGTATCTTCAGGTCGCCGTTAATCCGTGAGTTTATCTTTCCATCTCCACACATACCAAGGACAACGTGATGGGTTGCAGGGACATTTCCGAAGAACTGGAGAATTTTGTGCCTTCGATCTCGGTTCGATGCTGAATCAGTCTACAGTATTTCATTGTTGAACAAGGAAATATTCCATATTCTCAAGTCACAATTACGAAATGAGCATCAGGAAGCAAAAGAACTAGAGAAATGAGGCCTACCCGGGAGGATAGCAGTACCTCTTAACTCGATTATAAGGCGACGCTTTTTATTTTCGGAAATGAGGCTTTCCAAAAATATTACTCGGCTCATATTCGAGATCACCTTAAATTTGGGTAAATGGGTCCAAGATGGGAAGGCACTTGCAAAGCAGGCAAGATCCGGCCAACCATCCCAACAGAGCCACCAATTCGAGCGCAGACTTCCAGTTTCACTTTCACGTATACAGTGGCTTTATTATAGCACATTTTCAAACGAAGTTCTATCTTCCTCTTATTATCACTCAAAACATGATAGCCTTTTGTAGGAGGCTATCATGTTTTGTATGTAACATGCCCTCATGCATTCAAAAAGATGAAGTATGTCTTCCCTTTAGGTTTATATGCGAAACGGGAGAGAAAATAGTTTACGGCTCACACAATATATTGAATACAATCTCTATGGCTCACGCCTTTCCTGGATTCTGTTTTTTTTTTTCAGATGGGGATTCTATTGCGTCTTGCTGTTAGATCAGCAGCGGAACATAGTCAAGTTGGGACTGCCCTTGACTTTCACAGCATCTCGGCCCAATAATTCGTACTGGGAAGGGATAGCATACATCCCAGCCGATTATTTTCCACCCAGAGTTCAATGGTTCAATGCCGCCCTTCAACATGGTGTCGGGAAGGATCGTCAGTTTTATCTCCTTCACGTCATTCCTCGCGAGAAAAGGGGACCCGAACCAAGTTTGTAAGACCATTTTCCTCCCTCAACGGGAATATCTCAAGCAGTGGCGTGCCCAGAGGTGGGGGGGTTTGGGGGTCATAACCCCCCCCCCCCCCCCTCGGGATACATTTTTCGGGTTCAATTCTAAAAAAAAAATTAATTTGGCCATATATGCAAGGTGGGTTACCAATTGTTCATATGTCAATCCCCTCATTGGGATTTTCTGGGCACGCTACTGATCGCAAGATTATTAGATAAAAACAACCCTAGGGGGATTGGAAAGCTATATTTTTCTCCTGTTGCAGTCACGAGTTGGAATACTACGATACCATTGAGTTCTGGCGCTATCTACCGGAGAACAAGCAGGCCACATTGTCTCAGGTTTGGCTGGATGCAATGGGCAAGAATCATGGCAGCCGGTGCAACCCCGCTTCTTATTTTCTCTTCCTCTTTATCCTGTCTTTGTTTTTCATCTAAAGTGTATTCTACGGGATTTAAAGTGACAGTCGTCAGCGAAATCGAGCGTCATGATTGTTACTCTAGTTCTGCATCGTCTGCTAGTCACCAGAAATACAGGAACCCTACATTCATCAAGTTCTGCGGTGTGATACTGCTTTCCGAATGAACTCATTGGACTGAAACTCGCGTGCAATGAACACTTCCCTCCATGCGATAGCAATATCCTACGGAGGAGCGATAGCATCTGGGAATCGCATGGAGGTGATGAACCTGGTTGGAGATGGAAGGAGAGGAATGTAGGCGTGAAAATATACGCTCGAGCCGTGTTTTCACACTTCATTATTATCCGGATATATTAGTCCGTCCGAGCTCTTTTTTCGCCTCTGCTCGTTTTCTTCTCATCACCACTCTCCTGTGATAAGGAAATTGTTGCTCGTATGGAATAGACGCGAGTTTAAAACCGGTCACAAAAATTAACTTCATCAGTTCGCATTATTGGGTCGTGTGATTGGGAGAGCCATGCTCCTCCATATTTCATTCGTTCAAAAATGGGGAATCTCAAGGAAACGGAATTGTAGGCAGTTAAGCCTGGAGAGTTTCCATGGTATCATCGCCACGCATTCTCCATAGCTTTCCCCTGCACTTCTACCGTGTCGTCACTTTAAATTCCCGTAGAATTCACTTTATTCAGTTATGGGCGAATCTTAAATCATGATTCCACTTGAATTCCACCACGGAGATAAGCGGTAGGATCCACGTGAAGAGTGTGATGCGAATCATAGACCTCTTAATTTTTGGCGATGTAGATTCAGATGCTTTTCAAATCTCCTGGAAAGATTTCAGAGGAGTCGGCAACTCAGATTCGAGATCATTCACATATTTTACAATGTTGCCGCGTTATCATATATCTTGAACTATTTTCAACAATCTCCATCTGTTGACATCTCCACGTTTCCACTAAGTGACCATTAGTTCGAGAAATGTATATGATTTTCATTTTTTCAGTCACACGAGCATCTGAATTGTGCGTATATTCCTGTTAACATTTGACTTGGAAATGGGGATTGTTTGACAAAGATGGGAATCTGACAATAGTCCAGTTGGCCCACCTCTGCAATGGTCCACTCCCACCCAGAAAAAAGGGGATGCTTGATTCTGAGATCTAGCATTAACATTTGCATCACGCACGATTTGGAATTCATGCCTGGGATTCGTCAAAAACTGATCTCGTTGCCATGTCATCATCATCAAACTATTATCGATTATCATTCAGTTATTCATTAATTTATTTAATCATTCATGTATTCGAAGTAACTGTCATCACTCCAGCCCTCAAACAAGAAGTGCATATGACTATAATGAAATGCAGGAAAAAGTTGTGAAGTTGCGATTTCTATGAATTACTTCCATGTGAAGTCCTAAGCGTTGCCATATGAATGTACTGAATGAATGAATCTGCTGCAGCTGTCATTGAACCATGTTCAACCTTCCCTTTGAAAATAAAGGTATGTAGATATGTTCAATTTATTCAATGGATGAATGGATGAATTCCAATAATTAGTAAATCAATTCATTATTTTAGTAAAAAAATATATTTTAGAATGCTGTAGTAAAGTATGTGAGGATTAATTCATGAAATGATACATCATTTCAAGAGGAAGATTCTTTGCTCAGAGTAAAAAAAAGAAGAGACAGCTTAACTGCAAAAAGGTGCCAAAATATTATTGGAATCTATTCATATCCATATGAAGGAATCTATTCAATAGGTGGAGGCAAGTGGCTTCTCCTCCTTCACTACTGAGACATGCTAAGAATGCATCCAGTGATATCTAATGAAAAAAATCACTGCAATCTCTGATGAAATGAGTTCTACCTAAATCATATTGGCAAAAGTTTTAAAATTGTTTGATGGGGATGTGGAGAGTAGAAGCACTACAATTAATTTTTATCATGAAATAGTCCATTAGAGACATGTCACACTGCCTTCAATGTGTCTCAATCCAATTGAGACAGTGGTTCACAAATGGATCTCCCTTTTTCATTCCTTTTTGCTGCAATTCGTTTGGTTTAACATCCTTCTAGCAGCTTTGTCCTTTTGAGGGGGGGGAGGTGAAAAGGGAGACTGCCATGGAAAAGTAAGATATGAAGTGGATGTGAATGTAATGTAATGTAAAAAATAACATCTTTGAGACAAGAAAATTTCCTTGTTAACTCAATCTACACAAAACATGGAATGAACATCTACTAAACAGACTGCACTAGATGAAATTACTTCAGTTATGTGTCTAGTTATGTTATGTGAGAGATTTGTTCTATGATTCGGGAAAAATACTTAAAAAACATCCAGTGGAGTCCTTGGATAGTAAACATTTTTATTTCTACATGAAGGGAATTTTTTCATTTTCTCAACAGTACAGCTCTCATTGTTCTCTGTTGGAATATGTCCTTTTTTTCCCACAGTTTTTGAGCATTGTGAAATGGTCATTCCCATGAATTTACCCCATGCACATCTATAGCTTTTCAGAATGCAACCTCAGAGACATTTGTTTCTCTCATTGAGCCATCTCCAACCTGAAACTCAAGAACAAGGACATGCCAAGCATAAAGCATCCCTTATTTTAGGATAAGTTTATGTCCAGAGAATTTTCCACTTCAAAGCAAACACTTGGTTAGGAAATAATTAGATGCACACATACCGAGAGAGATAGAGTTGCCTGATGCAGAAAATAACACAGCCAGCAATCATGATACAGACTGATAATTGCAAGAGGTTGAAGAGGAGAAAACCAGCTTCAGATTTTGCAACATGGGTCAGCAGATTTTCCTCATAATCATACACTGCAGAGAGTATGACAAAAAATTCATGTTCCATTTCATTCCATTCTGATATGCTCATTCACATGCCATCATAGCATGCATGTTATCATATGCTATGGAGTTGCTTCTACTTTTGGACTTCTGTTTGCTATTCCACTTTAAGTTTCTCATGCAAAAGGATTTCACCTGTGGACAGATATATTACATTTTTAATTATGTGATTGAACTGACTGCATCATCAATGCAGAGAAGTCTCATGTAAGGACAGCAATAATAATTTCCAAAATTGGCCTACATATGGCAGGAACCCTCAAAACATGTATTTGCCTCTGGAGCAACATAAAAGCTCAACATTTTTCTAATCATCATAAAAAATCATAAAAAATGTATGCATGAGAGGGTTAAAAGAAGGTCTATGAGAAGGGAAGAAGGATTTTAAACTGAGACCCAAAATTTAGCTCTCAAGTAGTGTTCATCAAATAGTGATCATTGCAGTGCAGTTTCTCCCTCCTTCCCAAAGCAGCACAGTAATGTTGGGTGCTTTAGTGGGATTGTTTCTTCTACCCCCTTGTGAAATTTCAGCCTTGTACCTTATGTCATTAATTTTCACAGGCTTTCCAAGTTGGTTGTATCAATTGATCAAGTATGGCTAATTTAAAAGAAGAGGAACAAAGAGTTGTTCCTCTCGAACTCTTATACCCACATGGAAACTACTGTATGTTCACTGAAAGGGAAGACTCTCCACAGATATATTCTAACTGCTTATATATGATTCCAACAGCTTATAAATGCAGGCAGAATCATCACCTTTATGGGTAAACAATTTAATGACAGCCATTTGTTCATCATTTTGAAAAATTAATCTCAGAAGTAACATAACTATTAAAGTAACCAGTCATGTCAGGATATCAACCAATGGGTAAAGGCTTTTCTAATCTATCTAGTAGCGCCTTGTCCTCTATCCTTTAAAGTACCGTGAATGCAACCCTTCACTATCTTGGTTTCTGGAGGCCCTCATGGTCATCTAATTCATAAAATGGTATATGGAGTTTCCACATTGACTTTTTTTCACCTAACTCCTTTCCTTTCTAACAAACTGTTGTCAATGGTGCTGGAAAGACACATAGCAATCATCATGAATTGTGAAGGGGCATAATGATGAGTGAAACCCATGGAGCAACTTCCCTTTCTGAGAGACGGAACTGCTACTTCACAACTTTACAGTAGAGCCCATAAAAAAAGTTTAGAGTGCATAAATGGGCATTAAAGTCAATTCAGGAACCTTGTAGATATGTAAAAACAAAACCTTTGAGATAGATGATATTAGTCTCCCAATGGAAATCCAATTGGAATTGACTAATAATGCAAGTCCAATTTCCAGTCAAGGATCCATTGACATGTCTTAGCACCTCCACACGAACCTTAAACAACCAAAGGAATAAGAAAAAGCCTGTTACAACCATGAATGCACAGCACAGGAGTTATTCAATGAGATGTTTCTCACCATCCTGGGGTCAACCAAATCATGATTTATGCGAGGTTTCCCATTGAGGGCCCAGTGAACAGTAAGAGATTCATATATAGCACCAAGTAGATCTCCAAGACAAGGTAAAGAAACCTCTTGATGGAGGAAAGCTGTGATGTCAGGAGAATGACTCTGAATGGCCACAGCACAAATTCTGACCAACACTGGCTCATCAGATTCTTTTGTCTCCACCATACAAGCGTACAGTCCTGAGTCACTGTGCTGAGCTTCCCTAATCACTGGAAATAGGATTGATATATATTTTCCCATGGTTTCAAGCCTTTATACAAAGTGTCACACAAAACCTGCTCCACTTCCTCTAGAGCAGAAACCATGGCAGTGTTTTTCATGATATTGCACACACACTTAATCATCTATATATTGCAGTTTTTTTTTTGCAGGTGATCTGGGATAGTGGGTGTTTTGATGGCCCCTTTGAGTGAGACATTGTTTCATGATCAAAATTTTCTCCAAAATAAATTGTACAGGCTTACCAAACACTACTAAGTGCAAGCCATCTTTTCTATGATGAGAAATTGAACTTTTTTTCACAAGGGTCAGCATAATTGTGAATATTTTTGGCTACAAATTTCAGATTGATTGTGCTTGAAATTGCAAAAACCATGAAATGCCCCTGCAATCTAAATCACAAGAACAGGCCTGCAAAAAAGAAGTCTCTAAAGTAGGAACTACCTATAGACACTGAGGCAGCAGGCATAAATTCAGATACAGAACTTGCATTTAAGAAAAACATTATCACAGCCACACTGCTTTGCAAATACTATATCTCCTCTTTTTATGGCATCAAGCAAACACTTTCATTCAGATAGAAATATGCATGGCGATTTTGAAATCAGTTGATGGGTGTCTGTGTGGCACTCTAGACTTAGCACTGTAGGTCAGTAAGACTCACTGAATAGTATTCAAGTATTGTAGGAAGAATGAAACA